ACACCTCGGTCCTGTCTGGTTTTTCGGTATCCAGTTGATCATTCTTTACATAGTAACCATCAAAGATCTGTGCTATCTCTCTACTCAGGTCTTGCCAAGCAGGCTTCTGTATTCTGTAAATTCGCTGGATTTATCTGGTAGTTTCACTCAGGTTTCATGTAACTTATACATCACACTACATGTTCCACTACCTCCCAGTACAAGCTGGTATAACCACTATTACAGGTTCTACAACCCAATAGAATACAGTCTTCCAAATGCATTTTCTATAATTCGAATTTTCGTCGTCAGTGAGATTCGAACTCTAGTCTTGCTACTTAGGGGTGCGACAACTTGCCAACTTCACTAAGTCGCCACACCCAATTGATTAATTATAATTAATTATAATAATTTAAACAAAATTAAATTATAAATACCTGGAGAAGGTAAACTATGAATATTTATATAATTTATTATAAAAGTAATTATTTTTAAAACTGTTTCAAATGATATTACAAAATTACTAGTTTTTCCTTTTAATTTATGTATTCTTGTATTAATTTCTTGTTCTATAAAATGAGATCGAATATTTTTTCAATATTTTTCTCTAATTCTATAAATTATTAAAAATGTATTATTACAAATTTCTATTCCTTCAAAAATATATCTATTAGCAAGTCTATTATGCTTTTGATTATTTGTAGTAGTTTCTTGTCAAATAGTTGCAAATAGTATTCCTAATAAAAACATATCTTTTTGATTATTATTTAAATTTTGAAATTTTTAATAATTTATAATAGCTTGTTCATGAGAAATTAAATTTTAAAGACATTTATCTTTACAACATATTTTAGTTGTAATTTTTTATATTGAGCTTCTTTATTTTTTTTATCTAAATTTTTTGTAATATTTTGGATTAAATCATTATTTTCAATATCTTTAATTTTATCTTTTGAATAAATTTTTTTAAACTTATCTATTTGTTTATTACTTAAAATAGGTTTATCTGAAATTGATTCTTCTAAAATAGATTCATCTAAAATAGAATTATTTAAAATATCTTGTTCATTAAATTCTTCTTGATTATAAAAATCTTGTTCAACTTGATTATCAAAAGAGATTGTTTCAATCTCAGATTGATAAGTTGTTTAAAATTCTTCTATTTGTTGTTGTAAAGATGAAATATTATCAAAATCAAATAAAATATATATTAAAGCCATTGTTAAATTTTTATAAAATAATCTTATTAAAAAATTCAAAAACTAAATAACTTTATATATTTTTATTAATAATTTATAATACATTATCCTTTTATATATTATATAATAATACAATACTTTAAATTCTATTTGTTAATAATAATTTGTAATTATCTTATATAAATAATTAAATAATTATTTATCCATTACATCTCACAAGTCAAAATAAAATATATTAGATTTATATCAACATTATTTAATTCTAATATAAATTAGATTTTAAAAAAAATTAATTTAAATAAAATAATAATAAAATAAATATCAGGTTCAAATCAGCATTAAAACATATCAGCAAGCCAATTACTTTATAAAAGTATTGATAGAACTACTAACAAAGAAATAATATTTCTGTCGATACTTTTATAAAACTATCAATTTGCTAATTTGTATTAATGTTGATTTAGACCAGATGTTTATCCTATTAGTATTTTATTCAAACCAAATTTTTGTTTAAAATCAGGCTCATATCGGAATTAAATAATTTTGATATGCTTTATTTCAACCTGTATCTATAATATATAAAATAATAATCAACAGCTATTTATATGAAAATAATGATTTAATCCAAAATATTACAAAAAATTTAGATAAAAAAAATAAAGAAGCACAATATAAAAAATTACAACTAATATATGTTGTAAAGATAAATGTTTATATGAAAATAATCTTTATCTGTTACACACATGAAACAATCATTTGTTATAATAATAATCTCATGATTATCATACAAAATTTAAATAATATGCCTATGATTAAATAATAAAATATTAAGATTCAAAAAAGAAAACAGATAGTATTGTATACAAAAATAAAATACTTATTTTATTTATTAATGTGATATTGCATAATCTCTAGTAAATTAAATTATATGATTGTATTTTATTAGTAGTTTGCTATAATCTGCTTATGAATCATTTATAAAATCAGAAATCAGTAATCAGAAATCAGTAATTACTTTTTTTTAATAATCTTTAAATTTCACATAATTTTGCAAACCGCAATAAATAAAAAATTTTGCCTTATAATTACTTGAAATT